TGTTAATTACGAGTTGGTGTAGATACGATCCCCGCTGGGAAGCTAGCTAGCTTTGTCTTTGGCCACACACACTAGGTTTTCCACGACGAATTTATATATTTTCGTAAAATTACTAGTGTCCGATGAGAATCCACTGAAGTTAAATGATTTGTATCGTTCGAAATTTATAAATATTCCGGGTTTTCCGATTGATAAACGTTAGAACAATCACAGTTATAGCTTTCGAAGTTTTATAGCAAACCGATTATAGTGAACTAATAATAGACACTCTCTCTGGCCAGTCGCGTTGGTTATATTTATAGGTGTGGGAACGTTTTCTAGAAACTTCAGTCTTACGTAACAATACTGGTTAAAGCGTTTACATATATAGAGATATTGGTGATTCTTACTCTCGAGAATAGGCGAGAGTTCCACAATACATATTTAACACTACAAGCTATGCATGGTTTTAAATATAAACTTAATATAAACACATCGATATTAAAATAAATTAAAACAAATTCGTTACAACTCCCTCCTTAGAGAATTAAAAATTGGCCTTAGACAATTTTTAACTAAGACATTATATATATCGGCAACAATACATTATGTGTATAATAAATTATTCAAAAGATTACAAACTTCAATAATAATTACAGTGTACAAACAATCAATACAAAGAACCTTATGATCATAAGATTACATGGCACGTGAAAGTGCATCAGCACAAATGTTATTAACCCCTTTGATATGGATTACCTTCAAACCATATTCTCGTAGTGATAAACTGCAATTTAACAGCCTTATGTTATTTTCTGTCTTTCTTTCTTTTCTTTTTCCTTTCTTCTTTTTCTTTCTCTTTTCCTGTCTTTTTCCTTTCTTCTTTTTCTTTCTTTCTTTCTCTTTTCCTGTCTTTTTCTTTTCCTTTCTTCTTTTTCTTTCTTTCTCTTTTCCTATCTTTTTCTTTTTCTTTCTTTCTGTCTATCTTTTTCTTTCTTTCTTTGTCTCTTTCTCTTTTTTCTTTCCTTTCTCACTTTTTTCTGTCTTTCTTTCTCTCTTTCTGCTTTTCATTTGCTTTCTTTCTGTCTTTATTTGTCTTCTCTTTCTTTTTCTTTTTCTGGTTAGAATTTCCGACCAACTGACAGGTATGACATGCTTTGCAAAACTGCCTAATTCTGACCAAAA